CGCTCCCACAATGATATGCATATGCAAAATTCAAAGAGCACGAACGTACATGCCACTCGACACCTTCCTTCGAGGCGCGGCACGGCGGGAGTCCGGAATGCGGTCGCCGATTTCCTTGTCATCAGTGCACGCACGAGTAGCTGCGGCCAGCGTCCTATGTCGCTGTCGTTCCAAGTGTCCTCACAGGATCTATCCGTGTTGCACATCTGCATCATATGCAGCAAACATCTACGACACAGTCGTGCCCGATGAGACTTTTGCATGCGGCTCATTTCTTGCTCTTGCAATCCCAAGAAGCGTCCAATAACACAAAACGTCCGCCTTACCACCTGCTCGAAAATCCATGAATTCGTGGCCCCCTCCTCATCTGCCTCACCCATGCCGGGAACTCGTTCCCAGATCCACTAGTATACCCGCCGTTCGCTTCTTGGAGACGGGTGGTTGGCCAGGGTCGATTGACGTCTCAGCAGCTGCGGGGACAGTGCACCCGATTCGAGCGGCTCATCTGCTGTGCCTAGTCGCCGCTGCCCCATGACAAGCAGTAGATGTTTCATGTGCCCGTCGTTAAGAGGCTTTGCAGCCGAGCGTCCATCTTCCCGCTCAGGCGGTCTTGGACGACGGTGATCGGGTCGTCCACTGGGTCTAGACTCGGCATCGACGTGCATGCATTTGTGCTTGCCTACCGTGATCGCGCGGGACGCCGGTCGGAACCACACGAAGACGCATTCTGCAGCAACATCGAGCCCGATAAGCCACCTTCTATGGCCGAGTTCGACATGACATACCGAGGGGACACTTGCTCACGACACCGCACACACCGCGGTGGCGCACCTTTGGCACCTTTCTCCGAGTTGGCTGCTTCAGCAAAGAATCCACAAGCCATCTTCAAGGCTTCCTGAGCATCGCGGTATACCTTCCCAAACTCACAAAAAGCATTGATTGCTGCTTGTAGCTTGAAGACACCGGGAGATGGGAGATGGGGAGAAGTCAGATCATCGCATCTGTCTCACCCATGCCGCAAATTCGCTCTCGAATCCAGCATTTGGCTCACCACTCGCCGTTCCGGGACGGGAGGTCTACCAGGTCGACTGATGTCCCAACAGCCGTGTGGACGGCGCATCCAGGATGCCCGCTCATTGCCTAGCAGCCGCGGTCCCAAGACAAGCGATAGATCTTTCATGCGACCCAGTTGCTCGTCTAGGGAAAGACATATCTCCCGAGAGGTTCTACAACCGACCGTCCATCTTCCCGCTCAGGCGGTCTTGTACGACGGTGATCCGGTCGTCCACTGCGCTGAAGCTGTCCTCCCATCTTGCGGTTGATGTCCCAGAGCTTCGTCTCCAGGTTGTCTATGCAAGTTTTCGGCTGCGCCGCACGTCTGCACTCGGCAATGACGGACGCGTCTCGTGGCTGACACCGGACGAGTGCACGCGGTCTTGCCTGCCGCGATCCCGGGTCACTGCTTGGAATCGCACGAAGCGCATGTGAGGACACGTTCTGAAACGATATTAATCGGGTGTTTGCTACGTTCGAGAACGTACCGGATGGGAAACCCGCTCACGACACTACACACACTGCGGTTGTTCGCCTTCGGGTCAAGGTTGGCGACGCGAGCGCCGTCCCGGGCGTCGGAGAAGCGAACGGACGCGCTCCCGGGCGGCGGGCGACCCGGATGTGCTTCGCAATTGCGGCTGGGCGCAGCCGACGTGGGGCTTGGGAGGGCGCGACGGCGTCGCACTTTGCGGGGGGTGGTCCGTGCACGCTGTCCTGGGACGGGGAGGGGATAAGAAGAGGATGGGGGAGAGCGGGCCTCCTCGAACATCGACAGTTTTTCCCCCCTGCAGACGGGGTCATGGTGGAGGGGCGTCAGCGGTGGTCGAGGCGTGTGGTGGTCCGTCTTGCTGCGTGTGGGGTGCTGTTGATTGAGGCGGTCGACGGAGATCAGCTCCTTGATGACTGCCCGGTCGACCAGCCCGCACGGCGCGACTCGCTCTTCTTGCAGCAACGAGCACTCGCTGGTGGAGAGCCCGGCCCCATGGGACGTCAACGTCGGGACCGTCGGCGCCGCGCCGCAGACGCCAGTCCGGTGCAGGGCGAGCAGCGAGGAAGAGGAAGAGGACGCGGGCCTGACGCACGCTGTCACGGACGTTGGACAGACGCCCCTTTTGCCGCCCATTCCCCTCCCTTTGACGCCCACCTTCCATTCGCGGACCACTTTCCTTTTCTAGCCCATCCCAATTTGGACACTG